TCAGAAATCACAAACTATTGGGTGCGGCAGTCCGCACCAATAGTTTCGTGCGGCGAAGAAGATGACGATGACAACAACGACGATGACAATTACAGAGGGAAAGGCAGAGCGAGCTCGTGCCAAAAACGAACTTATCGGCTGCGCTGCGGCCTGCGGGCAGAGGTTGATTGGAAAATGGATCTGGTGAAAGCAATGGTTCCGCTTTCTTCCGCCAATTCATCGAAACTTGCACTTTTTTCATTTTCTCAATTTCCAAGTTCCTTTTCATTTCTATCTTATTTTTATTTTTAGTATTTTAATAAAAAAAAATTCCATTTCTGTCGATGGTGGAGGAGGCGGTGGTGGAGTGTCGAAGTCCTTGGCCATGGCTGACTGGTGGTCGGACTTATGAGATCTCTAACACGCAACTTAGTGAGGTAAATGCAATTGCTAAGTCAAAAAGAAGAACTAGAGCACTAATGGCAGTGCATGAATTCGGTGAGGAAAACAAGAAATCAAAATGAATAATTAATACATGGATTAATTATAACTAGTAGAAATTAAAAATTTGTGGAAACTAGATCGAAAACCTAAGTTGGATGATATTCTTTATAACTGGATGTGATATCATGTATATCAGCCAACAAAAGAAACAAATCGGTCAACTGATGTCTGATTTCAGTCAATATTAGGAACATATCAGATATGAATAAAATCATATCAGCCAACAAAAGGAACAAATCAACCAACAAAAGGAACATATCATCCAACAAAAGATACATATCAGCCAACAGAAGGAACATATTAACCAACAAATGAAGCATATCAGCAAAAAAAAGGATGAAATCAGCAAACAAAAGCAACATGTAAGCCAACAAAATGAAACATATAAGCCAACAATTAAAATATACATATCAACCAACTAAAGAAACATATCAGTCAATTAATGTCTGATAGCAGCCAACAAAAGAAACATATTAAACATTACAAAAAACATATCAGCTAACACAAAAAACATACTCCCCCAGTTTCGTATTAATCGCAACACTAGGGTGTTCACAAAATTTAAGAAAATTTATATGGTGGTCCCAAAAGAGGATTTCTTATAATATAAAGTATTGTTAACAGGAGAGAGAAATAATAATAAAAATAAAAAAAATAGTGTAAGTGGGTTCGAGAAATAATAAAATATTTGTAAAAATAGAGTTGGTGGGAGAGATAAATTATAAAATAACGGTGGATCTTTTCCAAATATAGAAGTGTTGCAATTAACATGAAACGGGTGTAAAAGGAAAGTGTTGCGATTAATACGAAACGAAGAGAGTATCAGCCAACAAGTGAAACATATCAGCCAAGCTTGCCGTACACATAATTTGCGTACGACAGTCCGCACCTAATACATTCTCTTCAAACATATACAACTTTAAAATACGCAACTTTTTTTGGTTAAATCTGTGCATTGCACGGGCACTAACCTAACTTTGTAGCTAGAGTGTTGCTAGGGGATGGGAATAAGGGTTGTTCATCGGTCCAAAACATGATCGGACCGATGACCGAAAATTTGAATTTTAAGAACCGAAGACCTGTCCAATTAAGCTGGGATCGAACTCGAACCGGACCGAAAGAATCAGTCCAAAACTCGGATCGAACCGCTTTGGATCGATTTAAGATTTTTTTTAAAAAAATTCTAAATTTTTAATAATTTTATGGAAAATTTGAAAATTAGTAAAGGAAAAACTATATTTTATCATTTTTTTTTGTATGTTTAGTACAAAAAAACTAATACAACTAAAGTTTTCTAAGCATATTAAGGATAATCTTAACCATTATTTAAGGTTTTACGTATAATCTAAAGCAAAAAAGCAGTCTAATCCAAGAACGATTTTTATAGGGTTTTGGACCGGACCGGAAAAATAAATTTCTACACCCAAAGATGGTAGATCTGATGTAATTTCTACACCCAAAGGTCGGTTAATTCGGTCCGATCCGAGGTCGATCCAATCTGGTCCGACCATTTTTTCAGACGGGGTCGATTTTTTAACACCCCGGGATAGAACATTTGTTTTTGTCTGACTTTCCACAAGGTCTACTGGCCTTGGTGGATGTAGATCTGATGTAATTGCTCTTCTGTTTATTATTAAAGTCCTTGTTCTGTTTGTCTTTTTTTTTTAAAAAAAAAAAAGGCATGTCACTAATTTCACAATGAAACGGGCTTTTGAATAACACCAAAAAAAACAATGTATTATGTCTCACTATTTTCAAAAATATCTGATGTATATATAATATTTTAATTAATTACAAGTTACAACCTACAACAGCTAACAAAATAAATATGCATTCCTCAACTTCTTTAGATACAGACATATATGTCACTATAATATCCGGGCATCATTTCCATCCTGTATACATTCATATACCGTCATTTGAAGCTCAAAGCTTCCAAAATCTTACAATAAACATCAATACATCATACTTAAAAAAAAACAAACTCTTACATCCAAATAAAAGAATGAGTCTCTTTGCTTCGATCAATGTGTCTGATAAATAAAAATTGTGCTCTGATTAATGTGTCTCTTTGCTTCAATTGATCGAACAAAGTGGAAACTTATCAATATAGGTCATCTCAAACTCTTTGACGTGATATTTTAAGGTAATATTCCATAGAGGTGACTTGCATCAACTCAATTAGATCTAACTCTGGCTAGCCTTGGCCAACTTCATGGTGCCCTTAAGGATATGCTGCACATTGAAAGCTCAAGCTCTGCAGATTTCGTTCCACTCCAACCTTTCTTCGGACCATTCCCTAATATAGGTATTGGTTGGCAATACTCTGCAATTAAATGAATTAAGAAGAAAATATTTGTAAGCACAAACACAACATAAAGAGAATTTCTCATGAAAGCAAAAGGATAAAAAAAAATTATATATCATTTCTAATGAAAAATTGAAGTTAGAAAAAACCCCATAAGCAAAGATAGGATATTGGAGATCGAGCAAGAAGGGACCCTTGTATTTTAAGAGGGAAGCAAAGCAAAGTGCACAAATTTTAATTCGTTTGGTTGAATGTACTGTCAACACCACTAAATTCGGTAATGTAGCCCTCTAATGAAATCTCTGAAATATCCAGGCCCTATAAAATTTACATATGCCTGAATCTAAAAGCAGTATTCCTAGCTAACAAATTATCACCATAGTTGTATAATATCCAATATACGATAAATTTCAAGGATTTCCTTAATCAAGAAATACTACTAACTAATAAAATAGAGGGGAATCAAATGGGGTTTTCTAGGTCTCCAATTTAAAGGACAAATTAAGTATCAAAATTTCCCAAAATTCAAACAACCCATGTCAAAACTCTTCACGGAAAATGTTTTTAAAAACAAGAACTCTTTGCGTGAACCTCTGCATATTACAGTTTCATAGCCCCTTTCCAAATCTAAAGTTAACATGACAACTTGCAATTTTCCTCTACCAAGTAGTTTCCATCGAGAGTCTCTCTCTCTCTCTCTCTCTCTCTCTCTCTCTCTCTCTCACACACACACACACACACACACACACACACACACAGAGAGAGAGAGAGAAATGTATCCTGATGTACCTAACACCATATTCAAAGATTACCTTAACTAAGATATGTCATGCAAGCATCTGATAGCTTCGTCTGAATGCAACATTTAAAATCCATGTCAAAATAAATATTTAAGAGAATCCAATTATAAGAGAATTTAAATACTTAAGAGAATATAATCCAATTATAAATACATAAAGAGAATTTAAGATAGCATGGTTATATAAGAGAATAGAATCCAATTATTTTGATTAGCCAAACCTGAAACCATTCTATATTTAAGAGAACAGAATTAAGGCAAACTAAAGAGTACTCATAAAAAATTATAAAATTAGTTGTACTCAAACAAAGCCACCACATCAAAATCCAAGGCAAAATTGGACTACAATCCCTAAAAAGATGTAAAATTACCAAGGACAACCTCTGAGCAAATTAATTAATTTTGCATCAAAACCCGTAGCAAATTAAGCAATCTTGCATCATCAAAATAAGTAATTTTTCCAAAACCACATCAAAACTCGAAGCAAATTTGACTACAATCCCTAAAAAGATGCAAATTACCAAGGACGATCCCTGAAAAGATGCAAAGTTACCCAAGGACAGCTACATTAATAAAACCATACACCTTTAAATACATATTTTGATTTTTGGAGACAATAATATGAACAACAAAGTTACATTATAGAGCAATAATCTGAAGGCATACCTAAGATAATAATGGCAAATAGCTACAACTTCATTTAGGGTGTACCGAGGGAAATCAATAAGAGCATTATACGGTACCACCATGCAAGTATGTTTACAACTTCCCCACTACAGTAGAATGTGAGAATGCACCGATCATCATGTGTCATAGGCCTGAGTGCATTTACTTGGACCATGAAACTTATTGTGAGCCACTTCAAACGTGCATAATATAGCTTGAATGAGTGTGTGTGGCGTGCGCGTGCATACTATAGCTTAACTAATAATTAAGTGTGTGCGTGTGTGTGAGAGTGAGTGTGTGTGTGTGTGTGTGTGAGAGAGAGAGAGAGAGAGAGAGAGAGAGAGAGAGAGTGAGTGTGTGTGTGGAGAGAGAAAGAGAAAGTCTTTCATTGTTGATGTATAGTATGTATTGTAGAGCAGCAAGCCACTCAAAGAGAGTATTTTTATTCTTGCAATACGCTCCACATAGAATATCTGAACTGCTATTCGTCGTTCGCAAATTACTGGGTGACGTTCACATTTTTAATTGAAATGACATTTTTGCCCTTGTGGGTATTTTATCTATTTAAGGGTTCACCATGGGTAAATTTAGTTACCGACAACATTAAAAACATTATCGAGCCCACCACTTGTATTAAAAAAATCCCGAGCATTAAAAAATCCCGGTTCCACCATTGTACGGTAATCCCGAGGAATTTAAAAATCCCGGGGCAGAAAAGGAAAGTGTACGGAATGGTGTTTTACGATGGACGACGACAACGTTCACACGCCGGAGGGTTCGACGGAAGAATCTGTAAGTATTTCGAATTGTTTTTTTTTTTGTAAATAGGACATCCGCCCTTTTTTTCCGGAAATCTGGGGGAGATCCGCCCAAAATTTCCGGATGTCCACTAGTACATCCGGAAATTTCATCCGGATGTGTACATCCGCCTGAAATTTCCGGATGTAATTGGGGACATCCGGAAATTTTGGGCGGATCCCCACCCAGACTTCCGGAAAAAAAGGGCGGATGTCTTTTTTTTTTTTTTTTACGTAATTGTTATTGTTATCATTATTATCATTATTATTATGGTTATTAATATTAGTTTTGTTAATTTTGTAAATTTTTGTTATGATTATGATTATTATTAATATTATTACTACTATTATTATTACTATTGTTGTTATTATTATTATATTAGTTATTATTTGTTAATGTTACGTAGTTTTTGGTGTTATTATTATTAGTATTATTATTGTTATTGTTATTATTATTATCATTAGTATTATTATTGTTATTATTATTATCATTAGTATTATTATTGTTATTGTTATTGTTTTTTTTTTTTTTGAAGCCTTGTTATTGTTATTTTTATTGTTATTATTATTATTACTATTAATACTATTAATATTATTATTGTTATTATTGTTATTTTTATTATTATTATGATTATTGTTATTATTATTGTTAAATTTAAAATACTAATCCTTGCATGTTTTATTTGTTTGTGTAGTTATTTTGATAGGATTCGGAGGTTGAAGACGACGGTGATATTGTGAATTACAGTGCACATTTTGTTACAGACACGGTTTTTCTAACGTTTGACGATGCAGTTACATGGGCGGATGCTGTTGCAATAAATCTGGGATTTATTTTGGTGAAATCGTCTTTCAACAAACAGAGGGATGGTCGATCAGTTCGATATTTAAGATGTGATCGGGGACGCAGGAGTAAGCCGAGAGATCTTGAGAACGCAATTCGGAAGGACACCAAAACCAAGGGCATTGGTTGTCCTTTCTACATCAAGATATGTTACGAGTTCGTCACCAATACTTGGTTTATCCGGGCGAAAGATGATGTAACTGGGACCCACAACCATCCAATGATTGCGTATCCAGAGGGTCATTGTAAAATTAGTGGGTTGAGCCCGAATGTGAAGCAGGTTGTGCGTGACATGACGAAGTCTAAGGTTGCACCGCGTAACATCATGGCGACTATTGCGGAGCAATATCCTGATGATCATCCAAACATCAGACACATCTACAACTGCCGGAATGACTTCAGAGAGGAGATGTCTGATGGGAGAGGAGTTGTTCAGCAATTTCTACATTTGGCGAGACAGAGTCAGTATGTTTACTGGGTCATGTCCGATGATGAAGGCGTTTTACAGCACGCCTTTATGGCGCACCCAGTCATGGTAGACATCCTACGGACGTACCCCTATGTGATCGGTATGGATTCCACTTACAAGACTAACCGATACGGGATGCCGTTCTTTGAGATAGTTAGCGTGACACCAACAAATTAGAATTTTCTTGTCGCTTACGTGTTCATGCGCAACGAGAGCACGACAGGCTATCGATGGGTTTTGCAGAGGTTGAGAAACGGTGCATGTGAAGGTCCTGCACCACCTAACTCCCTCCTAACAGACGCATTCAAACGTCTTGATCTTGCATGACGAGGACCAGAACCCTCAATCTGCATTAAATAAATAAGTACAGAATCATATTTCAATAATAATTCATAGTCAAAAAAATCAAATCAAAACTATAATAAATCAAATCAAATAAACTATAATAACAACATTACTAATAATAACAATAATATTATTCTTACAATACTAATACACTACTAACAATAACAACACACTAACACACTACAAATAATTTCAACACAATAACAGACCAAATCAAAACTATAATTAACCACAAAATTGCCAAAATTTAAACGCAACAACGACAACCCAATAAAAAAAACAATTACAATAACAATAACAACAATTTAAGTAAACAACCATAATACATAACAACAACAGCAGCAAAAACCAATACAAACCAAACCAAATTTACATAACAATAACAATACATAGCAACAACAAACTTATTAAAATAAAATCAAGAATTATTGCTAAACTATAATTATTGTAAAACTAAATCAACAAAAATTACATATCAATAACTATTACAAAACTAAATCAAGAAAAAAATTATTTTAATGCCACAAATGAAGGACACAAATATTTTCAAATTAAAACATGCACCAAATCAACAAAATCGAGGAAAAAAAATTTAAGAAAAACATAAATTAAAAAACAAAGGAAAAACAAAAAAAAAATGGGAAAAACAGAAAAAAAAAAAAAAAAGGGAATAACAGAAGAAAAAAAAAACCTGGAAACAGCACTTCCGCCCAGAAATTCCGGAAGTCCAGGGGAACTTCCGAAAATTTCAGGCGGAAACCCCACTTCTGCCTGAAATTTCCGGAAGTTCCTCTTGACTTCCGGAATTTCTGGGCGGAAGTGCCCTTGTCCAGATTTTTTTTTCAAAATTCAAAATTTTTAAAAAAAAAAACTCACCGGCTCGCCGCTGCTAACGCCGCCACCACGACCACCAAACGTCAACCTAATTCTCCGTCGGTCTGCTATTGTCGGATTCAACGTTTGATTGCTAGATTTGCTTGTGTTTGAGTAACCTTCAACTGTTTTGGTTTTTTTTTTTAAAAAAAAAAAATTTCTGATTTTTTTTTTTCAAAATTTCTGATTTTTTGGAAGGTTTTAGAGAGAGAAAGTGTCAAAGAGTGATCTTGTGAGATGGGAAATGTCTCGTAAACCCCTAAATTAATTTATCGAGTATTTATATACGGAGGGCAATTTAGGAAATTCATGTAAAAAATGTGAACGTCACCTAGTAGAATGCGAACGACGTTTAACAACACCATCTTATTCCTAGTACCTGCTAAATGAACATAAACTAACTGATTAAAAAAAAAAAAAAAAAAAAAAAAAAAAAAAAAAAAAAAAAAAAAAAACTTTGCAAAGTCTTATTAGCAAAAAATTTGATACAAGTCCAGTAAAGGGCGCACCTTAAACAAAAAGGCAGTTGCACATAAAGGTATACAAGTTCCAGGGCCATTACAGAGGATGTGGCAGAAAACATTAATAAAGTTCATTAATCATCATTCATCAATAAACACAGCATTACAGCAAGCTATAATTGACAAAAAAGATGAAGGGTGTATAAATATATATATATATATATATACCACTTGAGGTCTGATTTTGACCATCAACCACAGTGCCTGAGTAATGGTAATCAGAGTTGTCCCTATAAAAGTTATATATTAATATATGATATATCGTCTTCTCGACTTCTATACATCTGCAGGTATTGTGCTGCTTTCACCCCCTTCGGTAAGGCAAAAGTCTCATTTATATATAAGGCAATTGCAATGATCAAACATACACTACTACATCTGCTACAAGAGAATAAGCTTGTCATTGGCAATGTATATTAAGAGTAGAAAAGCTGATCCGACCCGAAATACCGACTCGAATCCGATTATTAACCGACCCGTCTAAACCCGGAAAAATGATGACCTGAACCCGATATGACCAGACCTGAAACCAACCCTAGACCCGAGTTAACCCGAGTATTTGAGACCCGAACCCGAACATGAACCGACCTGGAGATGATCCGACCCGAATATAACCCGTAAAATATTGACTTGAACCGAACCCGACCTGAACCGAAATTAACCCAAACCCGTTTTGTCCCGTCAAAACCTGAATTCAACCCGACCTGAATTCAACCCGACTTATTCCTAACCCGATCCGAATTTAACCCGATCTATTACTAACCCGGCCCGAATTTAACCCGACCTATTACTAACCCGACCCAAAATTCAACCCGATCTGTCACTAACCCGACCCGAAATCAACCCGACTTGTTATTGATCCGAAATTAACTAGCAATCTAGGATTACGTCATATATTTTTTTCCCCCCTAATTCTATGAGTTATTTTCCTATTTAAGCTTATTCAAATATTTTCAATAAAATTCTCTATTATCAAATGTATTACAATTTATGTGTCTCAAAAAAACCTATAAAAATTTATGAATACCACAACTTTTTGGATGCATGTGCATTCTTTATTATAATTTAGTAATTACGATTTACGAATACTACTACTTTTTAGGTGCAAGTTCATTTTATATTTCAATTAAGTAATTATGGTTTACGAATACTACTACTTTGTAGGTGCATGTGCATTAATGTAGTCAATTACGGTTTACAAATACTATTTGACCTTAGGCTTGTTTTTTATCTTATATTTTATAAGAAAAAAAATCCAAATAAAAAAAAGTTAAAAAAAAAAATAATAATTTCGGATAATGATTGAATTGAATGTGATAATGATTGAATGCGAGCATGAGTGTATGACAATGACCCGATGATAATCTGACCTAAATAATTTACCTGTACTCGATCATGACTTGACTTATCTGGACTCGAGAAAGTGGTGACCCGAACTAGAGCTGTTAAAAGGCTTTTATTGGTCTTTTATTTTTCTAATTTTATTATTCATTTGCCTATTTAATCTTATTTAAATGTTTTGAATAATGCCATTTAAATGTTTAAGAAAAATGTCATTAAAAAAAACGTGAACTCGGATATGAACTTATAAAAAATAAACAAGTTTAGATAATTTCAAATAAAATAAGTTTAGAAAAAAAAAAATTGTATTTTAACTTATCTAAACTAAATCTATTTTATCCGAACTTATATGAACTTATTGTATTTTATCTAAACATGTCATCTCGAATATGAACTTATCTGAAATTGTTAACCCTAAAATGAGTGGAATCAATGTGAATAGATTAAAACAAGGCTTGAACTTATCTTCTAAAAATCTAAACTAAACCTATCTTATTGGAATTAATATGAACTTATTATGTAGATCTTATCTAAACTTATTATAACATTACCTCGAATTTAAACTTATCTGAAATTATTTCTCTTACAATAAATGAAGTAATTGATGATTAAACGTGAATGTCATTACATGAACTATTAACAAACCGACCCAAAAAATGTACCCGAACCTGATATGACCCGACCTGAAATCAACCCGATACCTATATTAACCCAATATTTGAGACACGAACCCGAACATGACCTGACTTGGAAATAATCCGACCTGATTATGACCTGCAATTTTTTGACTTGAACCAAACCCGACTTGTAAATGACCCAACCTAATTGAAACCCGCAAATAATTGACTTGAACCGAACCCGACTTGAACCCGAGAATGACCCGACTTGGAAATGACCCGACCTGATTATAACCCGCAAATTATTGACTTGAACCGAACCCGGCTCAAACCCGAGAATGACCCGACCTGATTATAACCCTCAAATTATTGACTTGAACCGAACCTGACTCGAACCCGAGAATGACCCTACCCGTTTTAACCCGAATTAAACCTGACATATTATTCACCCGACCCGAATGTAACCCGACCTAAACCCGACCCAAACCCGATAAGATGTATGACCCGATGTTACCCGTCTCGAGCATGGCCCAACCCGAACCCGACCCGTATAAATTACGACATTAACCCGAAATGACTTGACCCAAGTTGACCTGACTCACACTTACCCAATCCAAACCCGACCTGTTTACCCGAATTAATAGCTCTAATTAAGAGCATGCTGAAGCGCTAAAGTGCAAACGTGCGATGCACAAAAGGTGACTATATTTGTAGCTATACACAAGGCACTTCCGGATGTCAAAGTGCATCTCCAGATGTCACATTAGGTTTATAAGAAAATTAATTTTTTTAAGAAATTTTTTACACATCCTTTTGTTCCTAGCTATATCCGTTAAAAGTTGCTCGAATAGTCTAATGATATTATGTACTTATATATTGGTAAGTTAAAAAATACTAATATACAATGTAATTCTTAAAAATACTTTTACTGACCATTAAATTATTTATATTTGTTTTGAAGCAATATGCTCTTAGAATCTATATATCCAACACTAAGGTAGAGTTTTTGTTTTTTAGGGGTAATTTTCTCTCCTAAACCCTGTTTTTAGAATCATTAGTTTGCCTGCAAACTTTTTTACTATTATTATGATTGACGATTGTTATACATTTTTATATGAGGATGCCTAGGTTTATCTCTATGATAAATAAAAAATTGTTTATCACATCACATTTTTGTAAGTAGATCAACAATTTTTTTATTGACAGAGGATGATGACTGGATAAAGTTGTTGATTTATTTACCAAAATGCCATATGATAAATTATCTCAAGGATAAACTAGTAAACAGTTAAAAAAAAATGGGATGTATAATTTGTAAAAAAAACCACCCCAAATACACCACTTTTCTAATTTACCATCCTTTTTTTACGAAATTATAAAATACCACCTCCAAAACGCAAAACCAGTAGGTATTACCACCCCTTCTCTAGTACGGCCAGTTTTTTAACTAAAGGGTCCACGTGTTAACACCTTATTAGGC